TGAGGGTCAAATGGGAGTCTGCCCAGTGCTAGTGTTTCCTTTTCCCAAAATGTTGTGAGAATCACAAGGTAAAAATAATAAGACATTAGAAGTATTAATACATTGCTAGGTACCCTACTGTTTCAGTGTATTCATCCTCAGTATAAGGTCTTTGACAGCTGGAATATTAAATTCTGTATAACCTGGTTTATCTTCTGTCCTCTACCTACTCTTACCCCACCTCAGTGTTTTTTATATTATCCAGACATTTTAACTAAAAAGCTTATTTTATATGTAAGAGATTCCCAGTAGACATGACTCAAGAAATTGCCAGTTTTCAGTTTTTGTCCTTGGGCATGCAGGAGGAAGGACTTGAGACCATTGAGAATCATATAGGGTTGAGAATACTAGGTTCTGATTTTTTTCCCCCTGCTTCCACTAGCCACAAAATTTTATACAAACCTCTTTCAGTTTGTAACTATGCATTAAGTACAGATGGACTAGGCATTCCTTCTAGGAATAATAGTCTATGGTTCTGGTCAAATATTCTTCTTGCTATGTGGGATCTACAGCAGCACAAACAAGTGTATTCTCATTGTAGCTGGCAGCTTTCTTGCAGCCTTACCTTCCCTGTATTAATTTTGAGGACATGAAATGAAGTTGATGTATAAATTGTTCTAAAGTTTATGAAGCAGGGTGAAAAGGTCTTTGCTTTTAACATTTCAGTAATTCTTTATTTCTATAAATACTGGTACTTTTTCATAACCAGAAGGCAAGAAAGTTCCCTTCCACAGTCTCCAATAGGCTTGTCTTTAACCTCACAGAAATGTCTCCACACTTTTACCAAGCAGGACCACCAGAGGCTCTGGCACACTTGCAGTCCATGGCCCAACACCGAAGTCCTGCTGGAATCTGTGCTCCGGGGGCTGTGCCGGGTAGAGAGGGCAGTGGGAGGTAAGAGCTCTTCACCCTTCACCACCTTCTCCACCCAGCATGGCCAGCACACTTTGGTCTACGGCATATCTCCAAGTAGAGAGTGGGGTTTGAATGCTGTTGTCTCGCCTGGGGGAAGGAGGGGATGATCTGGATATTATCAAAGTAGGAACTGTTACAAGTAAATGTGTCTTTTATATTACTGTTAAGACAATTATTGTACTGCTTTTATTTGTTCTTTTATCTGCAAAAGTATGAGTACATTTATTTTTTTTATTGTGGTAAAATATAACACAATTTAATGTATATAGTCCAGTGGCATCAAGTACCTTCCCATTGTAGAACTATCATCACTGTCCATCTCCAGAACTTATTTTCATCTTCCCGATTTCAAATTCTTGTTTCCCCTCTCCCCCTTCACCAGCCCCTGGTAGCTATCATTCTACTTTCTGATTAATGACTATTTAAGATACCTCATATAAAATGGAGTCAAACAGTATTTGCCCTTTTGTTCCGCCCATACTGTGTTATGTTAAAACAAAACTCTGCATTCACTTTATTGTGGTTGTTGTCTAATTGCACTTTATACAAAAGTATATTATGGGGGCTGGGAAGGTAGCTCAGTGGTAGAGCGCTTGCCTTGCATACATGAGACCCTGGGTTCCATTCCTCAGCACCACATAAGGAAAAAGAAAAAGCCGGAAGTGGTGCTGTGGCTCAAGTGGTAGAGCGCTAGCCTTGA